TGTTCTACAAGAACATCTTTACTGGCCCCTTTATATAACATGTATAAATATTTATGTACAGGGATGCATGTTTTGTTAGGGATGCAGAGTAACAAAGGAGGGTACGGAGGGATGCTTTAATTTTTGCACTGGGATTTGGGGGGTATTCGCCCGGCGAGATTTTTGCGACAGCTAAAACTCCGCCAGCACCATAGTTTAGGAAGGAAGGCTCATACCAGTCTAAATCGCCATTTCTCGTTAAAACTGACCAGGTTGGGGTGGGTTTTTTTGGTGCAAACCTTAGTTGGGAGTGTGGTGTTTTGTGGTTTTTCATACTAAACTGCAGCCTGCCTGTTACCCCTCCTAGGGGACGGGCGCTGTTCACCTGCGGGACTGCGGGCAGCTCCTCCGGTGCTCTCGCGCTGTGGCCCTCCAGAAAGGAGGGTTTGCGTGGTGCTGGGGCAGAGCTCCAGGAGCAGACATTTCAGGATGCTTCCAGTCAAATCAATGGAGTAAGATGAATTTCGGAAAGAAACCTGGGTGAGCCCTGAAGGTAGCGTTGAGAAGTGTCTGGGGCGGATCGACAAGGTTTATTTTTCATAAAACTGTATTCAAGCTACGTGTCAGTGTTCTGGGAACACGTCATAAACGTTCACTGCTTTGAATGTAAATAGTCATTTTTGTCTGTACTACCAAAACCAGTTAAATTATTCAGTTCCTAGGTTTTATTTTTCATTCTTTCTGCTACTTTTTTTTTTTTTTTTGCTTTTGTCTTGCCTTAGTTTAGTCACTTTAAGGCTTGTCTGTTAGTGATTTTTTTTTTTAAAAATTCAACTTCTAGTGGCTATAAATGGGGCAACGACTTGTCAATCACCCAGATCTGTACCACTTTTTTTTTTTTTTTTAAACTGTATGTTATGCCAAAATAAACAACGTGGGCCCAGTGAAGTCAGAGCTGACCTATTTGCTGTATGGACTTTGCTTTGGCATGCCATCAAAAATGATGTGGAAGTAGGACATAACAAATCTTGGCTGCCTGTTGGTTTGTATCTCTGCTTTCTCTTTTTCCCTGGCTGCCTGTTCTTGCGCTCTTTGAGGTTTATTTTTGAGACCTTTACCCTGTGGGCCTCATGGGCTCGAAGGAGACACGCAAATCAGTTCACTGTGTAAGGCTCGTTTCTGTAAGAAATGGGCTAAAAACTGGGCTTGAGCGTATTGGTAAAGGCGAAGTCCCAGGGAGAAAAAAAAATCTGTAGGGTACAGATCATTTTAAAAATGAGTAAAAGTGGTAAAAGCCAGTAAAGGAAGACGGCGATGGGCAGAAGCCTCCCAAAGCATGTGGTTCAGAAGGAGCGCGTGGTGTTTTTTCAGAGGTCTTGTGCATCGTGTTCCTGTTGCGGCAGCCCCCCCCGTGGCAGAGCCGCAGCGAAGCGGATGAATGTCAACCCAGCTCAAGGACGGCGCCGGGCCAGGCTGAGAGCGTGGGGGTGAGCAGTGCTCCCCGGGACGGGTTTGGCCAAAGCTGTGTTTCCTTTAGTAGGTCGACTTGCACTCGTATCCCAGTGCTGCGGGACGATAACCCACAGCTCTAGTGCTCTTGCAGAATCATTCAATCATTCTGGCTGGGAAAGACCGTTAACTGAACACTGCCAAGGCCACCACTAAACCATGTCCCTCAGCATCACATCTACACGTCTTGTGAACACCTCCAGGGATGGTGATGCCACCACCTCCCTACCACTCTTAAAAGAACTTTTTCCTCATGTCCAATCTAAACCTCCCTTGGTGCAACTTGAGGCCGTCTCCTCTTGTCCTATCGCTTGTTACCTGGGAAAAGAGACCGACCCCCACGTCACTACACCCTCTTTTCAGGCAGTTGCAGAGAGCGATAAAGTCTCCCCTCAGCCTCCTCCAGGCTAAACACCCCCAGTTCCCTCAGCTGCTCCTCAGTGCTACTTCTTTTTTATTTTTTATTTTCATGACTGAGTACAGGGCCATGGATAAGACTCTCTTCTATGAAAAGCATGTTCAAACAGTTGATTTAATTTTGCAATATAATCATAAATGTACCATGGAAAATTAAAACCAGGAAAGATTTTAGTGCAACAAGTAAGAAATTGCATGAAAAGATTTACTTCCCAAATCCTTGCCAAGAAGACAGTTTGACAACAGTAGCTGTTTAAGGCTTGGTTCTTCATTTTACTGTGCGGAAAAAAGCTGTCCGAGTCCCTCCTTTCCTTTAAACATTCAAAACCGTAGAGGGACAGGGTGGGGCAGAGCCTTCCAGGAAAAAAAGCGAGGGGTTACTTACCTGCACTTGGATATTATTAAAACAATGCTGCTCCTACGGCCTTTTAGTTTTGGTGTACGGTACCTCTGGAGTAGAGCTGTGGAGACTCTCCTAGTGGTGGAGCCTTTCTTCCTCTGAGGTACGTATATTGCAAGTAGGAGTATGATGAGGACAATGTAAGAACAAAATCCTCAGCTTCTTTTCTGCAGGTGCCTTCTAGGGGAAGAATTCCATTAAAATCAAGCCCTGAAAGAACTGGGAACTTTCTAACACTCGGTTTGCCTGCTGTTGTAGTAAAGGTCAGCAAATGGCACTTACGGCTAAAGTGACAAAGTGTCAACGTTTTAACAGTCCTTCGCATTCATTTGGCTTAACTGAAAACATCAGCAAATACCCTCAAAATCTCCATCTGCTATTACAAAGTAAGTACTGGAATACAAACATGTCAGTCAAGTATTTCAAACTCAAAATCAGAAAAAACAGCTAAAACGTGGTGTGGAAGTTGATGTCAACAGTTTTTTGAAAGCTTCATCTCTGCAGATGTTGAAAATATTCTTTAATTTCAGAATCTGATGTCTCAGCGTATCCAAGGAAGGATTTAACCCCCCATAGAAGCCACAAGCATTGCACCTGAAAAAAGGAAATGACAGAAAGGACCTTTATTGAAATGCATTTGAGGAGGACACAGTAGTGGTATCAAAAGTAAACATTGTGCTCAAGTATTTGAGTGTCTAACATACAATACAGCAGGGACTGCAGGAAAATGGCATTTTCTGTCCAAAGGGCTAGAGGCAGTCAGTGCTTTTTGCAAACAATCTTTTTTCACAAAGAAAGCTTCAGCAGACCACGCAAGTGATCCTTATGAGGTAATAATCTTGCTTTTTGTTGTGTATTTAATGTTTTAATTCTGATCTCTGTCATCAGCCAAGCCAAAGGCAGAGCAGTTTGACACAGCTGCTTGGTCTGCAGCTCCTTTCCCTCATAAATTAAGAGACAGCATTCAATATATTCTATATGGATTTTCTAGATGTTAACTAACAATAAACCACTGCTTATGAATTTTCACAGAAAGCTAACAATATTACTCCCTAATCACATTCTAAATTCCTCAAGCCGTGGTTCCACTTGTGTTCACATCTGCTGATTTTCTTACGCAAGCCGAAATCACCTGAAGGCTTTTGCAAAGCAGTTCTGCAGGATGCATTTTGCTGACTAAGCAGGACACGCCTCCTTTCTTTAGATCACTTGCCAAAATATCACATCCCAACTACCTACAACCTGGAAAATCTCAAAATGATTGTCAGGTTGAAATCAGTTAATATACCAGAAAACTAAACTTGAATTCTGAGAAATATCAATGATATTTCATCAGCTCATCAGCTTTGTCCAAGACATTTCATTAGCTACTAACTGGAACAGCGCACGAGCTTTTATCCAGCTTACTCTATTGTCCAGTCATCCTGCCTGCTTATCTAATTTAACAAAATTATATTAACGTGAAATTTAGTTAGACTGAAAATTCTGTCTCCATTTTTGACTGACTGAGAGTCAATGCAAGTAGAACGCACACAGACAGGACCTCAAACAAGAAAAAGGAATTATTTGTTACAACTAGAGCCCTTTGAGGTGTTTCCCGTGTATGTTTCACATGCTGTTGTACCTTCACCGCCGTTGTACCCTCTAATAGGATTAACATCGGGATTAGCAGACTGCTGCTTTATATACCCTCTAAGCAGAAAGCTCGAGATTTGCAAGGACTCACTGTAAACAATCAACAGCATGAAGTATTACATGGAGCATTTTCATCTGCACACAACTAGAAGTTAAAAATCAACAGCTTCCTACTTAAAGCCGTAATTTAAGTTAGAAAAATTCAAGTTACCAATATTCCCTATTCGTAAGCTAAGACCAGATTGTTTCAGACAGTGATTGGGGTGAAAATGTAGAATGGAAACTGCAAAGTTTAGATACTATGGAGATAAAAAAGGTTGGATATATAATAGTAATAATTGAGAAAGCGTATTTTAAGCACTTGTACTAATACCTGTGGAGTTTTGGGTGGTTTTTTTAATTAATCACCCCCATGTTCTTGCATACTGTCCCAAGGCAAGACAGAAACTGCACACGTACCAGTATGGTTCTCTTTTTGAACTTAATCAGGCTAATATTTACTGTCAGGTAGCTTCTTCTCCCTTTCAGTATTCTGCTAGAATCTACAAGAGGGCCTGTGGTGCAACATGCAGCACACCTCCAACGTGCTGGTTTTAAGATCAAGGCAAAGTCCCAAACAACAGGCAGCTTCAAAAGGATCACGCTCCAGGGTAAACAGCTGGTGGTTTATAACTAACTAGTTAACCCTCACCGAAACACGAGCTTTTTAGGGAACTATGCTGTCGTGGTTTTTTGGTAGGTGCATTATCTTGCTCCAAGTATTCCAAAAGTACTTAGACTTTGAACATGACACCTGAACTAAACGATTTTATAACTGAATATGGTTGTTTCCTCATCAAAACCGTAGGTATTATTTTGTGAATGCAACTCTTGTCGGAAACTCAGTATTAGATACTTAATTCACAAAACAGGGTTACAGGTGCTCTGCACAGAGCACTCAACAAGTTTACAACGTGTAGTTTACATTTGCAACACAACCCCATGATTCTGAATGCCTTTACACATAAGTTGTAACTGACTATTTTCTGGATTTTATTTAAAACAGAGAACGAGCAGGCTGTCAAATAGAGAGCAGCCATTTTTGGAACCACGTACTAAATAACACTTTCTCAAATACACAGAGTATTAAGAACTTACCTAAGGATGGTGCTATCCAATATACCAAGGAGTAACTGTAAAATTGGTCATAGAAACAATCTGCATGTAATGAAAAAGCCAACGCTGGGTTAAATGTTGCTCCTGTGAGATCGCCACCTGCAATAAAATGTAACCAATAGCCATCTTTCCTAACATTTATTTTAAATGAATATTGAAATGCACATACACAACACTGCAATGAAAACGCACACCCTGCAATAGAATGCATTAGCAGAAACCATTTGAACAGATAAACTCCTCTGAAGTTACTTACCCGATGATATTTGAACAGTTTAACCGTCTTCTAAAATACCTTAAAATATCTGAAGTGGGGCTATAACTTCCTTTATCTCTTTCTAGAAAATATTCTTTGAAGAGGTGGGTTTGGCTAATGTTGAATGTTTCTACTGATAAAACTATAAGCTGTTTTACTAATAGTCTGTATCATGCTTTTAGAAGAGACAGAAATCCCACAAATATTAGTAACCAAATACTGAGCTTCCATTACATCCCCATGAGGCATGTGAGACACATGCAACATAATGGAAAAAACTGTCAAGTGCTATTCTTGCTAAACTGAACTCTACACTTTCTTACCAGAACACCAATATTATCATATCAATTTATACAACCCCAAGGTTATCATATGGTAATAACTCGGGGAAAAGCCTTCACTATTATTCTGTATGTTACTTGAAGGAAACCAAAGCGAACCCCACTGCGCCCTCTTGAAAAAGGAAGCTTGAAGAAGCCAAGCATCCTTCCTTGCCTCTGACTTCAGATGTAATGGAAGTGGCCTAAACATTCCCTAAATAACTAGATCCAAACATCTGACACTGTGGGGACTAAACTGTAATGGCACTGCAGATGAACCTGGAGGTAAGCGCTTTTAGTTCTGACTTAGGTTGTTCCCCTCATCGCAATCCTGCAGAAAAAGCTTTGCTCAGTAAAATTACCTGTATTTCTGTACTGTTAGTTACTAACCACCCCATAACTGTTTTATCTATTAATCTATTGCCAGAAAATATTATGTAATTGTGTCTATTTCGTTTCCTAAAGCTTATTCTTGATTTTCTCAAATAAGCCCGAGGTGAGCTTTGAACTTCTCCTCTGTACAAACACCACGCTGCTCTAACCCCCACTCGTTAGGAGCATGCACTCATTTACTCAAAGTTCTTGTAAGGTCTTTGTCATTTTCTTCTTCTGCATTTTTCTTTCTATAGTCTCCTTATTATTTTTCACCATTATTACAGTTTGGGAAGGTTTTTATCTTTGCTCACCTACTCAGATTACTCTGTTTTTACACTTGTTCTCAACAGCAACTCAGATTTATTGTGCAGCCTGTTGTTCCGCACGTTGACACATTCAACAACTTCCACAGTTGCCAGGAAGGCCATCGACAGTAATCTGCTTTGCTTTAATCTATTTAGGAATTCACCGCTTCTGCTTTTATGTCCACAAACATACACTTAACAGTAGAATTTCGCTCTCAGGATGCAGTTGCTGTTTTCTAAACATTAAACATTAGAGTTTTAACTGCTGTATTTCTTCAATAGCAGTTGCTGTTTTCTAAACATTAAACATTAGACAGAGTTTTAACTGCTGTATTTCTTCAATATTCCTTACTAATACCTACTGGAATAACAACCACAGGCCAAGGCCACTAGTATAATCTTATTTAAAAATATTCATTAAACATCTCAGTCTGTGAACCAGAAAAGATAAATGAGTTTATGGGAAAGGAGGCGTACCATCTCTGATTGTTGTACACACAAAAACTTAAAAAGGTGAAGTCACGTGTGCTCCACGCAACGCATAAGAAAGTAATTTTAACTTCTGAAATTTACTAAAGGCAAATTCAAAGTTAGGAAGAAATTCAGGATTAAGAATGTGTGTGTCATTTTCACTTTGCTATGTTAGGCTCAGCAAGATCTAAGCACACACAACTCCGACTTCATTGTAATATTGCCTGGGAACGAAAAAGCCCTCAAAAGGTGGATGTTTTTTCCTCCCCTAATTAAATATTTTCCCAAAGGAAATATCCAAACATATTCTTTACCAGCACGTCTATGGTCTGCATCCTTAGCTTCTGAATCATTCCCTTAACACACAAACCCATAATGCTCTCTTTCTTCCTTCTGTTTAGTAGAAGAAACAGAATGGATGCAGTCTTGGGGCTTTTGTGTACAGTATGTACTACTATAACAATTTGGTCTGTGTAAGACGTAAAAAAAAATTCCAAATATTGTTAACTACAACAAAGTAGAATAAAACCTAAAGGAACAGCTTGCAATTGTGGAAATACTGTATGACCTGATGGTATTTGTGGGAGTACGTCATGTGGCACACCGAAGTACGTTTTATGGAGTACACCCAACAGTGACCTACGTGACAACTTCACTTAGTCAACCGTATAAATGCCATTTAATGTTTTTGAGCCCTGTACGTGTATCAATACATTTAGCCGGGTGTCAGCCATAGGGCCACGGCTAGCCTTCAAAATTTTACCCCAACCAAATCACAGTAAGAGATATTTCTTCTTGAAGTCCCTTTTTAGACAGCAGCCATTCCTCTTACAGGATACCGCTTTCAAACTCATACTTGAACATAATTCATGGCATGAAATATGATGTAGTACGTACGAGAGGTGGTTTCTCACATTTCTGATTCATTGGTAAGTGTAATAAACATGGGTCCTGAAGGCACAATTGGTTTGGCTTTTAAAATCAGAGTGTAAAAAGGAAGCATTACCATGAATTTTCTTTTGTAAATTTAGTGCAGCCTTCCAAGTTCCTCACTAGAACCCCGTATCTGTCAAATTAAAGTTTGAAAAATCATTATTCACACAATATTCTAAACTATTTTTGTAGGAAAAAGGAAGAATATTACCAGTTTGCCTAAATTAGCATTGCTTTGCCTAAATTCATGCTGGTTGCCTAGCCCTTTGGTGCTCGGTGAGCAAGAAAGATCCATTCCTCTTCAAGAAGTGCTCAAGCTTGTAAACAAAGAGGTGCAGAAGATTTCCTGAGAACGACCCAGTCCAGCTAAGTGGAAACGAGACCTCGGCCTGTTGGAGGCCACTACCCGTAACCCCCGATTTGGAAGTCACTCTTCGTACTGCGCGTAGGAAGCGCCGTGTCTCAAAGTGGAGGTGGAACAGACGTGGGGAGGGCGGCGCCACGCGACCCACGGAACAGACCGTGGGCCGTATATACGCACCAGACACAGGCCATGGCTGCCTACCCGGCCCCTCGCTATGGCCTCAGCTCCTTGGCGTGCGTCAGGAGGATGTGCTGAGCGGCTGTGGGAAGGGGGTCCCAACCAGCAGCCCTCACAAGGGAGGGGGCAGGAGAATGGAGGATATCGG